AACCGTGAAAAGAGATTCACAAAAAAGTGGTTACATTATGGACAGAATGCGATACTCAAAGTAGTTCCAAAAATTATGCTTTATTACACAATATAAATGTGGGCAATTAAGGTAAATACCCTGATTCACCATCACCTCGGTATGAGATAATACAAGAACAGACCTAAAAATCACATAAAAGCAACATCAAGGCCGGTCTTAGTAGGGTCCTGACGAAGCCGAGTGAGATACGCCCATCGGCGAAACGCGTTGACATACGTCAGACACGTCACTTCCGGTCGTACTCATTGGCGCTATACATGCTGACCAGCAGGGAAGTGGCCATACATGCTGGCCACGAGTGGTGCAAGGCTGCACAGGCACCAAGGGGGGAGCAGAGCCCGCCGGATAATAGTCCCAATGATGGCGGCTGCCTCCGGGACTACGCCTGGTAATCCAGACGAAGGAAACTCTGAAAGAGTATCACTAATGACTTGGGTGGTGAGTGAACCGTTACACAGCAAAATGGAATAAGGCGCTTGTCCGCCATTGCATATATTTACCACCAGGAATACATATTGATTGACTGTCCATTTGTCACCTATTTGTTACAGGATTTGGACAGTATGTTTCTCTATTTAGGTGCAAGGCACCCTACATATATAACAAGACACGGAGGACCCTGCAGTTTTTATTATTTCATCAAAATTAAGGTCGTTAATAGCCCGTATGTCGCGGTGAAGAAACCCCTTGGAGCAGGGCCCTGCCATCTCAATTACATTAAGGAAATCAACAGTGATTCTTCCATTACTGACTTTGTATCCATACAATATGGATATGTCCACTGTGATTCTACATTTTTTCACCACCTACTCCTGCCTTAAACAATCATATTTGCAATACCTTATCTGGTTATTATAGAGGCATCCGCATCCCAATATGTGTTTACAATTTTTCACCCACATTGCCTGCAAGGTTATGGGTAATAATGTTATTGCAATTTGGTGCTTGTTATCAGCCATAATTGCCAAGTATGTTATACCTGTATGGTACAATTTTTTGATACACCCCCTACCTGGTGGTGTAACCAATGTGTTGGTGCTGCAAATGTATTAGACAGGTATTTGTCACTATATATGCAGCACATTACTATTAAGACCGGTCTTGATGTTGCTTTTATGTGATTTTAGGTCTGTCCTTGTATTATCTCATACTGAGGTGATGGTGCATCAGGGTATTTACCTTAATTGTCCACATTTATATTGTGTAATAAAGCATAATTTTTGGAACTACTTTGAGTATCGCATTCTGTCCATAATGTAACCACTTTTTTGTGAATCTTTTCACGGCTCTTTTTTTTGTAAAACCCAATTTAAGCCTCTTCACTGCTCACAGAACATAAGTGTTGTTGAATGGAGTACTGTGTAGGACTGCTGGAGACTGCCTTGGTTATTTGCTTCAAAGACATGAAGCAGAATACATTTTGTAAAATTATATACATTTATGACGAAATTTGATTTTTAAATGTTTTTAATTGGATATGTTTTTAACAGAAAGTATGACATATTTTATTTTTTCAAAATTTCAGTCTTTTTTCATTTATATAGTAAAAAATAAAATACCACAAAAAGAAAGCACTATTAGTGTGAAAAACATGATACATTTCATTTGAGTGCAGTGTTGCATGACCGCACAATTACCAGTTAAAGTATCACAATGCATAGTAGCAATAAATGGCCTGGTCACGAAGGGGGTAAAACCTTCCGGAGGTTTTAAGTGGTTTAAAGTCTCTCAGTTTCTTGGGGCTTTTTGCTTGCATGAATTTAAATATTTTGCCACACCATTCTCAAAGGCTCTAAGTTAGCTCCTGCACCTTCCCCTGCAGAATCAGTCTCTGACCCTCCAAAGACCTTAGAACAGGCTGAGCCTGTAGCCCCAGTTCATCCCTAAATAGTCTATATCTGAAGACTGTTTTTGAGGCACTGAAGTCTCATGCCATTGCCTCAGGTTATAGGGGATTGTGTAAGACCTTAAAGAGGCAGTGTGTTCTACCCTGCTCATGGAGAATCAGTCTGTTGTTCCACGCCTTGAGTCTTTTAGGGCTCCTGCTGCTACAAAGACCTTACACTCCTCTTTGATTCCTTCCTCTGTATGAAATTAAACACCCTGCTGGTCTCTGGGCCCCATCTGAGAGGGTAACTAGGCTTTACCCATTTGAGAGACGGGCAGCTAGAATCCCTCCTTAAATCCCAGTTTGAAATGACTGGTCTTACCCTCCACTCTGTATTAGTAGGTGACGTTAAAATGTTAGTAAGTGTCTGAATAGGTGGATTCCTTCAAAAAAAGACTCCTTCCACACTACAGTACGTCCCCATTTCATAGAGCACATGGAACAAATGTCTGGAGCATTGTTGTTCAGTTGTGATGGCTTATTACAAGCATTTAAACTAAACTTGTGTTTTGCATAGGACTTATGTTTGTACAGATGCACAGAGCACTCTGACTGCATAGATGGGACACTGGCATGACATCCAAGAAGTTTCTGACTCTCTTTTGATGCACATTGTCTATTCAGTCTTGACTTTGACCCTGTGATTAACAGTGCCATGGGTGGCCAGAGTGTGCTTCTGCCTTAATGCAGGAGGTCCACAAAGGGGTCAAAGGAAGTCCAACCCTCTCCTACTTCTACATCAACTGTAGGTACCCTTGGACTCCTACTCTGTCTGCCTGCAGGGGTAAACGCCAGATGTAATGTCTGTTTTCGAATAATCCGGTAGTTATGTTGTTACACCCATTTTGGAGAGGTTGTTGGTTCTCCATCTCATGCTGCCACAGGCTGAATGTTCCTTCAGGTGGAGTCCTTCTCTAGTAGTGATCTCATTGTTCTGGTCTTGCACATCAGGTTGATCCTGTGTGAGCCACCCTTGGTCATTGGCAGTATTTCTTGTCTTGCACCTCATCTGGTTCGGACTCAGGTGCTGGACAATCAGGTAATTCTGGCATGCAGTTTCTACCTCCTTTTTTGTGTCCCCCAATGGACTTCAGAAAAAGATTTTTTTAACTACAAAAAATAATATACAGCCTTGCTGCAAAACAAGTATAAAACCTGAATTTTCAATCGGGCTTTGAAGCTTAAATACTGTTTTGGTGGTTGAATTTAGATCTATCTTCTTTCCAGAAAATCAGCTGCTTAAACAACATAGAACTCTGCTAAACATAATTTTAAAAAGATATGGTTTGAATGTAATCTGGTTTAATCCACTGCATCATTTCAGTCTTCTCTTCAAAGAATTAAAAAAAATGATAATGTGACCAGATTTAATCCTTTGCATCTTTCTCAGTCTTCTCTTCAAAGAATTAAAAAAGAAATAAAAAAATAAAGCTGAAACTCCTTTTGCCCACTAATGTGTCTTAATCCACAGGTATAGCTAATGATTAAGACCCCATGGAAAATGCTAAACAAAGATTGCGCTAAAGCAATTGCTATATCCTTGGTCCTTCAAACTCTGACCCCGATGTATTTTTAGAAGAGAAAATATGTACATAATTTTAAGCACATGTAAATCAAATTAATAAATTATTAGTGCATTTTGCTTGTCATTTCTGTGTGGGCTAATCATGATAGGTCATTATTTAAGCATTATGTAATTTCACAACTTGTATGAACAGCTGCAAGTAACACTTTGTGGCGAGAGATTTGTTCCTACAAATCATAGTAGAACACACTCTATTCCACAGCAGTGTTTTTACAACATTATTTTATTGCAAGTATAAAATATATATAATTTTAGTTTAGTATACACATAGGCTTTAAACACACACACATGTGTTGAGCACCCAAGCTATATAACTTACTCACATAACATCCACCTAGTTGTTTTTGTTAGCCAGTGCTTCAGCACGGTGGCGTCGTAGTGTTGTATTGGGTGTATAATTTTAATTTTGGTCTCAAACTTTTGTGCCATCATATAATGGCTTTGTGTTATTGATTAGTTACAAACATCTGTAAAGGGCAGCTGATCCATCAGTTACTAATTTATTTATGTAAAGGCATTTTATGCATAATTATGTAAATGTTTTAGAAGCTTGTCGAGGTCAATATATAAAAATTGAAGAGCTTTTTTGGGGAGAGAGTTTTCGTGATCTCAAGCTCCTCAAACTGAACTTCAGGCACAATAAAAATTAACTTTTAGAATAGAATACAGCATACCTGTCTGACACTAAGACAGAGCTTGGGCATTGTTCATAGACTCTCTCTACCCAGAACCATACTCTGCATAACTCTGCCTCTTATTCACTTAATAGCTGCTTGACCACATCTCTGTGGACCCCTCATCCAGGCTCCATTTTGTGAATCAATGTTCCCCTGTGATGATATGATGATGTCACAGGGCTAAGCAGACAACAACTCAACTGGGGCAAGGTAAGTAAAAAAAAAACCAAAGGGGGGTGCTAAGCAGGAGGAAAGGGAGGTGTGCCATTTACTTTAGCTTCTGACTGGAGATGTGCTTTAAAGAACAAAGACACTCACTCTACCTTAAAGAAAGTTATTACTTTGTTGTAACACTTACTAAAAGGTCCAAATGATATAGTGCATGACCTGATATTAGACAGTCGAAAGGGGTGTGTGTGCGCTTCATTTTCACTTCTTTCATCTTTTATTGCATACATTTGCTGCTCCATCATTTACATAGAAGTTGGACCATACCAAGAGAATAGGTAGTGAGGCAAGCAACCCCTATTTTCATGATAGAGTCAGGATCCTCTGTCAATGTTTTGACTGTTAGAGGGTAAAGGGTAAAAGCTCTCCTTTAGAAAAGTATTACCAAATGTAATTTTGAAAGTTCACCTCAGTTAATGTTCTAACATTTTATATTGAAATGTTGAAAACCATTTATCATTTTCCTTCCACTTCACAATTATGTGCCACTTTCTGTTGGTCTATCACATAAAATCTCAATAAAATAAAAGCCCAACCCTTCAAAAACAGCCACACACCATAATTCCCCCTCCACCAGACTTTACTCTTAGCACACTGCAGTCAGACAAGTACCATTCTTCTGGCAACCGCCAAACCCAGACATGTCCATCAGATTGCCAGACAGAGAAGTGTGATTCATCACTCCAGGGAGCACATCTCTACTGCTCTAGTGTCCAGTGGCGGTGTGTTTTACACCACTGCATCTGACACTTTGCATTGTACTTGGTGATGTAAGGCTTGGATGCAGCTGCTCGGCCATGGAAACCCATTCCGTGAAGCTCTCTGCATATTGTTGTTGTGCTAATCTGAAGGCCACACAAAGTTTGGAGCTTGGTCTTTAGCTATTGACTGCACAGACAGTTGGTGACTTCTGCGCACTGTGCGATTCAGCATGCTCTGACAAGTCAAATGACTTTGTCATTTTACGTAGCCTACCAGTTAGTGCCCGAGTTGCTGTTGTTCCCAGTTGCTTCCATTTTGTTATAATACCACTAGCAGCTGAGCGTGGAATATTTAGTAGCAAGGACATTTCACGGATGCACAGGTGGCAACCTATCATGGTACCACTCTTGAATTCACTGAGTTTCTAAGAGCGACTCATTCTTTCACAAATGTTTGTAGAAGCAGTCTGCATGCCTAGGTGCTTGATTTTATACACCTGTGGCCATGGAGGTGATTGGAATACCTGAATCCAATGATTTGGAGGGGTGCCCCAATACTTTTTGCAATATAGTGTGTGTGTCTGCGTGTGTGTATATACTCAGCAGCCACTTTATTACGTACACCTTGCTAGCACCGGTTTTGACCCCCTTTTGCCTTCAGAACTGCCTTAATTCTTCGTGGCATAGATTCAACAAGGTGTTGGAAACATTACTCAGAGATTTTGGTCCATATTGACATGATAGCATCATGCAGTTTCTGCAGATTTGTCGGCTGCACATCCATGATGCGAATCTCCCGCATCCCACATCCCAAAGGGTCTCTACTGGATTGAGATCTGGTGACTGTCAAAGCCATTGGAGTACAGTGAACTCATTGTGATGTTCAAGAAACCAGTTTAAGATGATTTGAGCTTTGTGACATGGTGCATTATCTTGCTGGAAGTAGCCATCAGAAGATGGGTACACTGTAGTCATAAAGGGATGGGCTTGGTCAGCAACAATACTCAGGTAGGCTGTGTTGTTTAAACAATACTCAACTGGTACTAAGGGGCCCGAAGTGTGTCCAGAAAATATCCCCCACACCATTACACCATCAGCCTGAACCATTAATACAAGGCAGGATGGATCCATTCTTTCATGTTGTTTATGCCAAATCCTGTCCCTACCATCTGAATGTCACAGCTGAAATCGAGACTCATCAGACTAGAAAACGTTTTTCCAATCTTTTATTGCCCAACTTTGGTGAGCCTGTGCGAATTGTAGCCTCAGTTTCCTGTTCTTAGTTGACAGGAGTGGCACCCGGTGTGGTCTTCTGCTGCTGTAGCCCATCTGCTTTAAGGTTGCACATGTGCGTTCAGAGATGGTATTCTTCATACTTTGGCCTATTTTCCTCTGACCTCTGACATCAACAAGGCATTTTTGTCCACACAACTGCCACTCACTGGATATTTTCTCTTTTTTGGACCATTCTCTGGAAACCCTAGAGATGGTTGTGTGTGAAAATCGCAATAGATCTGCAGTTTTTGAAATACTCAGACCACCCGTCTGGCACCAACAACCGTGCCACATGCAAAGTCACTTAAATCCCGTTTCTTCCGCATTCTGATGCTCGGTGTGAACTTCAGCAAGTCATCTTCACCGTGTCTAGATGCCTAAATGCATTGAGTTGCTGCCATGTTATTGGCCGATTAGGAATTTGTGTTACCAAGCAATTGATCAGGTGTACCTAATTTTCCATGTTGTTAATTAATAAAAATAAACAGAAGAAAATCCAAATTAAATGTATATTTGTTGTGACCACCCTTTGACTTCAAAACGGAATCAATTGTTCAGCCCTGCTAGGTACACTTGCACATGTGTTTTTTAAGGAACTTGTCAGGTAGATTGTTCCAAACATTTTGGAGAAGTAACCACAGATCTTCTGTGGATGTAGGCTGCCCCATATCCTTCTGTTCTTCATGTAGTCCCAGACAGACTTGATGATGATGACATCAGAGCTCTGTGGAGGCCAAAGCATCACTTCCAGAACTCCTTGTTGTTCTTTACACTGAAAATAGTTCTTAATGACATTGACTGCATGTTTAAGGTCGTGGTGCTGCTGCAGAATAAATTTGTGGCCAATCACACGCCTCCTTGATGATATGGCATGATGTACAGTAAGGTCCATAAATATTGGGACATCGACACAATTCTAACATTTTTGGCTTATACACCACCACAATGGATTTGAAATGAAACGAACAAGATGTGCTTTAACTGCAGACTGTCAGCTTTAATTTGAGGGTATTTACAAATCCAAATCAGGTGAATGGTGTAGGAATTACAACAGTTTGCATATGTGCCTCCCACTTGTTAAGGGACCAAACGTAATGGGACAATTGGCTTCTCAGCTGTTCCATGGCCAGGTGTGTGTTATTCCCTCATTATCCCAATTACAATGAGCAGATAAAAGGTCCAGAGTTCATTTCAAGTGTGCTATTTGCATTTGGAATCTGTTGCTGTCAACTCTCAAGATGAGATCCAAAGAGCTGTCACTATCAGTGAAGCCATCATTAGGCTGAAAAAAAACAAAACAAACCCATCAGAGAGATAGCAAAAACATTAGGCGTGGCCAAAACAACTGTTTGGAACATTCTTAAAAAGAAGGAACGCACCAGTGAGCTCAGCAACACCCAAAAGACCTGGAAGACCACGGAAAACAACTGTGGTGGATGACCAAAGAATTCTTTCCCTGGTGAAGAAAACACCCTTCACAACAGTTGGCCAGATCAAGAACACTCTCCAGGAGGTAGGTGTATGTGTGTCAAAGTCAACAATCAAGAGAAGACTTCACCAGAGTGAATACAGAGGGTTCACCACAAGATGTAAACCATTGTTGAGCCTCAAAAACAGGAAGGCCAGATTAGAGTTTGCCAAACAACATCTAAAAAAGCCTTCACAGTTCTGGAACAACATCCTATGGACAGATGAGACCAAGATCAACTTGTACCAGAGTGATGGGAAGAGAAGAGTATGGAGAAGGAAAGGAACTGCTCATGATCCTAAGCATACCACCTCATCAGTGAAGCATGGTGGTGGTAGTGTCATGGCGTGGGCATGTATGGCTGCCAATGGAACTGGTTCACTTGTATTTATTGATGATGTGATTGCTGACAAAAGCAGCAGGATGAATTCTGAAGTGTTTCGGGCAATATTATCTGCTCATATTCAGCCAAATGCTTCACAACTCATTGGACGCCGCTTCACAGTGCAGATGGACAATGACCCAAAGCATACTGCAAAAGCAATCAAAGAGTTTTTTAAGGGAAAGAAGTGGAATGTTATGCAATGGCCAAGTCAATCACCTGACCTGAATCCGATTGAGCATGCATTTCACTTGCTGAAGACAAAACTGAAGGGAAAATGCCCTAAGAACAAGCAGGAACTGAAGACAGTTGCAGTAGAGGCCTGGCAGAGCATCACCAGGGATGAAACCCAGCGCTTGGTGATGTCTATGCGTTCCAGACTTCAGGCTGTAATTGACTGCAAAAGATTTGCAAACAAGTATTAAAAAATGAAAGTTTGATTTATGATTATTATTCTGTCCCATTACTTTTGGTCCCTTAACAAGTGGGAGGCACATATGCAAACTGTTGTAATTCCTACACCGTTCACCTGATTTGGATGTAAATACCCTCAAATTAAAGCTGACAGTCTGCAGGTAAAGCACATCTTGTTTGTTTCATTTCAAATCCATTGTGGTGGTGTATAGAGCCAAAAATGTTAGAATTGTGTCGATGTCCCAATATTTATGGACCTGACTGTATAAGTATCTGCCTGTATTTCTCAGCATTGAGGACAATGGTGTGGATCCTTTGGTCAGGATCAGTGGTGATCCTGACCAACTCTAGCCACAAACTTGCAAGGAACCTCCACCATGCTTTACTGTTGCCTGCAGATGCTCATTCTTGTGCTTCTCTCCAGCCTTTCGGCAAATAAAACTGCCTCTTGCTACAGCCAAATATTTCAAATTTTGACTCAGTCCAGAGCACCTGCTGCCATTTTTCTGCACCCCAGTTCCTTTTGATTTCAGACATTCAATATGGAAACAAGGCTAAGTGACTCAACTGTACATGAAGTGAAGAATTGATGCTGTTTGAGGCTGTCACAGCAAATATTGATTTGTTTTGGATTTATCTTCTGTTCATTTACTTTCTATTTTGTTAATAAAAATAAACTGTTAACACTTGTATTTCTAAAAGCATTCTTAATTTACAGCATTTTTCACATCTACCTAAAGGTTTTGCACAGGAGTGTGTGTGTGTGTGTGTGTGTGTGTGTGTGTGTGTATGTATATATATATATATATATATATATATATATATATACACACACACACACACACACACACACAGTTGTGTTCAAAATAATAGCAGTCAGACATCACTAACCTGATCAATCACTGTTTTTGGTAGAAATGATATTTCTACATGGCAAATAATTTACTAGCAGGTGTAGTGGAGTAATAGAAATCCAACAGACCCAACAGTCATGACATGCATGCTGCTGATTCTGTGTAATTGAATCACTAATTGAAAGGGACATGTTCAAAATAATAGCAGTGTGGAGTTCTATTAGTGAGGTCATTCATTCTTTGAAAAACAGGTGGCAATTATTGCCCTTATTTGAGGAAGGAAGGCAGCAAATGATGTACATGCTGGTTACAGTGCATTTCTCTCTGAAATTCTGAGGAAAATGGGTCGTTCCAGACATTGTTCAGAAGAAAAGCATATCTTGATTAAAAAGTTGATTGGAGAGGGGAAAATATATAAGGAAGTGCAGAAAATGATAGGCTGCTCAGATAAAATGATCGCAAATGCTTTAAAATGGCAAAAAAAACCTGAAAGACATGGAAGAAAGCGAAAAACTACCGTTCGAATGGATAGAAGAATAGCCAAAATGGCAAGGACTCAGCCAACAATCAGCTCCAGGAAGATGAAAGAAGGTCTAAAGTTACCTGTGAGTACTGTTACAATTAGAAGACACCTATGTGAAGCCAAGCTATCTGCAAGAAGCCCCCGCAAAGTCCCACTGTTGAAAAAAAGACACGCTGAAGAGGTTACAATTTGCCAAAGAGCACATTGACTGGCCTAAAGAGAAATGGCGCAACATTTTGTGGACTGATGAAAGTAAGATTGTTCTTTTTGGGTCTAGTGGCCGGAGACAGTTTGTCAGACGACCCCCAAACACTGAATTCAAGCCACAGTACACTGTGAAGACAGTGAAGCATGGTTGTGCAAGCATCATGATATGGGGATGTTTCTCATACTACGGTGTTGGGCCTATTTATCGCATACCAGGGATCATGGATCAGTTTGAATACATCACAATACTTGAAGAGGCCATGCTGCCTTATGCTGAAGAGGAAATTATCTTGAAATGGGTGTTCCAACAAGACAACGACCCCAAACACACCAGTAAACGTGCAACATCTTGGTTC